ATACAAATACTGCTTTTCTTTCACTTTTTCCCAGAACGACACAGTAGAGGTACTGACAACCATAGGAGCTGTTCCTGCAGGATTCCGCCTGTCCACACTTTTCCAGCTCTTGGAGGAAGGTGAATATTTAAGGTTTTCTCACCACAATTCCAGTGCAGGATTCTCAAGCATCTGTGGAGAGTTTCTTATCCTGGTTACAGCCTGTTGGGCTCCACTCAGTATTGCTTAATTGTAGTTGGGTAATTGTACAGACTATATCTGACCCATAAATGTATCAAAGGCTTTTTCTTCTTCCATTAAGTTTTAATTTATATTTATTGTTACGTTTAATTATATGTGAAATCCCAACCACATGGAGGCAATGACAAATTTCCTGATGGATTTCAAAGATTTTCCTCTTTGGAAGAAGCTTCCTGTTGGCACTGCAAAAAATGGTGATTTTTGATCTTCCCTTTTTCTCAGAGATCTTCTGGAGTCTCTTTACCATTTAAATATATTACACATCTCATGTTTTGTTAGTCTTTTTATATCAAGCTGTTTCAAATCAATAGCTTCTGGAATAAAACACTGCAGAATACTTACAAACAGTAAAAGTTGCCTTTTCAAAGGGTGCTTGTAGAAGATACCTCTGTAGTTTTGTCTGGACCAGTCAAATATCCAAATGGACTTAAGCCACACTTGAATTTTGGGGTGTTGTTCAGTTTGTGGCAATAAAGATCATAAAAAATGTTAAGAATTTTTGCTCTTCTTGTAGGCAATCAATTTCGAGCAAGTCACTTTCTGCAGCCTGAACTTACTCCATCACAACTGGCTTTCAAAGACCTGGTGTGGAATGCTGAAAAAGATACTGTGAGTATTGCTGGGAAGAAACTGTGGTGCTTCTGGAGGGGAATTGCTAGCAATATTTGATGTTGGTGGGTAGATATAGCTGTGAAATAGAGGACAGATTTCAGTGTCAACCCAGGGTCCTTAGGCAGTAGATGTTGACAATTCCTGCCCGCCAATAGCAGAAAATTGGTACAAATTGTCATATTGGGTTTCATCTTAAGTTTGTGGGTTTGTAGGAGTCTCCTTAGAAGAGAACTAAAGGCTTATGAAGGAATTTCGCTGCTGCTGCTGCTACTACACAAGCTTTGTGGTTAGAAGAATCCAGTCCAGTGAACACTGCACTTGATCATCTCAGTAGATAAGCACAGAGTGGTGCCACGTGCAGGAGAACCCCGTAGATTTAACCCTCCTGTTTGTATTTCAGATCTCTCCCAGACCAACTCGAGTATCCCTGGTTGTAACTTTATGTGGCTGTAAAATGATTCCCCTCCCAGGAGTCAGCATACAGGTCCTCAGCAGGCACGTTCGACTCTGCCTCTTCGATGGCAACCGGGTGAGTTGTTTTGTCTTGAGGAAATCAAGAACTTGAGTCTTGCTGAAATGTGGATCTTTCTGTGCTCTGGTTCCTCTGGTAGCCAGTTCCTCCAGTGGTCTCACTCAGACACACACAATCTGCCTCCCACCCTGCTTTACTCACTCTGATCAGTCTGGTTTGATACTTGCCTGTGATCACACACTTGCAGCCACCACAGATACAGTGGCCTGAGGTCTGGCTGGCCCCTGGCACCTGAATGTCCACACACACACATACAGAATAGAGAATCACAGAATGGTTTGGAAGGGACCTTGGAGATCATTTAGTTCCAACAGAGACAAGTAGTTATAAATGGGGCTGAATGAGAAAACAGGACAGACAGCACTGATCAGGCACAGGGCAGGGCCAGACGTGTACCTATCGCTTTTGTTTCCCACCCCTGTTGCTCCACAAAGCACCTCGATCCCTCCCTTTTCCTGCTTTGGGTTTCTTCCCTGAACATGCCATAGTAAGTGATGTTCTGTCCCAAAACGCCCTTCCTCTTCCCAGCAGCCTCTCACCCCGCGGCAGCAGCCCCTGTCGGGCTGTAGGTGATACAGCTCCCGTTGAGTCACCACCGCGAGAGTCGCGCCCGGCCCCGGGGCTGTCCTGGGCAGCTCCGGGAGGGGCTGGGGCGGGGGCTCCCTCTCTCTGAGTCCATCATTTCGGTTCCCCCTCCTGCCATTGTGGCTCCTTGTCCCTTCTGTTTGTGGAGATGAGTGTTTCTGGACTCATCTCTCTCCTGAGACCAGCCTGCACACAGCTGGGTCGGGCATCTTCAGATTCCCCCACCTGCCCTTGATCCGGCGTGTTCCTCCGAGTGGAACAGCTTTTCTAAACTTAACTTCGATAGGATCTAAGCAGCTTTCTTGCAGCTGCCCTGAACCCTCTTGGGGGCAAAGGGATTATTATTGCTGTATACAAAGGAAAGCCCTCTATGGCTCCAGAGAAATCTTCCTCTGTAGCCCTTTAAACTGAAACCGTCTGATAAAGCTGAAGAGAAAGTGTGATTTTATTTGTTGTGTGCAAGGTGGGATTAATCTGGGATAATCCTGCATTTTCTTACAGCTGCACAGCTTTCCAGGTAAACTGGTCTTAGCTTTTGTCACTGCTGTAATTCTCTAGGTGCTGAGTAACATTCATACAGTGAGGGCTACGTGGCAACCTAAAAACCCTCAAACCTGGAGCTTTTCTCCAAAGGTAGGTGCCTCCCTCGGGGAGTGACACAGCCAGGAACTGCCTGTGTACAACTTCTTACTTAGTGACAGCTATTACTTCTGGTATTTACACTGAAATAAAGCATCCTCCAACCAAAATGAACACGTAGAAACGATGCGCTGAAGTGCATGAATTCAAACTAAACCAAGTGATTCAGCAAAAACACTTGGGAGAGAAGAGCTGGGGGAGGGAGAAGTAGTGGGAGGGACTGGTGCTGGTGGCCCTGGTTCATGTTGGAGCAGGATCAGGCACATGGTGCATGGTGTTCATGGAGAAGAGTGAGACCAGGCACTCTGCATGTGAGCTTCTGCTTGATTTCATTACAGAGACAGTACCTGCTTTGTGCCAGGTTTCAGGTGCTGTGCAGGGCCACACTCACAGCAGTACTGTCATGTTTTACCCCAGTTGTCGCTGTGTTCCTGGAGGGAATGAAGTGCTTTTTGACATCAAAAGTTCTTTAATAGCTTGTTAATGTGTTTAATTGTCTTTAATAGCACAAAATTACCTTGGTAGCAGAACTATGTTTCATGGTAAGATAAAGAAGAAAAGGAGCAAGGTTTCAAGTGAAACTGCTTCTCTGCTCATCATGTTCTTTTATATGCAATAGACTGTTTCTGAGATATGAAATGAGGTGACGTGTTCAGTGTCCTTTAAAAAGCAGAGTTGCTTCTTTTTGATAGATACATTGACTTTCCTTGTTGTTTCCCTCTCTGTGTATTAGGTAACAGGCATTCTACCCAGCTTGCTGGATGGAGACTGTTTTGTCAGGTCCAACTCCCTGGCTGCAGACATTGGTCTGTTGTTCGAACTTGGCATCACTTACATTCGCAATGTGAGTGTGTAAAGGTGCAGCATAAATCATGCCAAGCACAGTTTATCAAGTGAACCACCTGCCCCACAGCAGACATGAAGCTGCAGTATCCCCGCAGTGAACTGTGGGATCCAAATGGGAATTTGGCTGAGCTTTGCCTAGCTTGCTGTAAGATTGTCTTCCTTTGGCTTCTGAGAGAGAGATGTTGGGTTTGGACTTTTTAGTTCTAGTCAATATTTAGAGAATCAAAGACTTTCTGCCTAGTGGACATGAATGTGCCTTTACTCACTGAAATCACTTCTGTTAGTCTGCCAAAGATCTCATCAATGTGATTGCAAAAGACCAATTCTTGATGTGCTTTGGGCTTCCCTTAAAGGTGTGTTTCTTGGCTTTATAAATCCTTGTCTCTTAAATATCTTCATGGATGGTCACCTGTGTCTGCTGTTTGGTAAATGCCTTCAAACACCTGTGAATGTGCCACAGGCAGTGTTTGCTTACCACAGATGTGGGGCTTTTATCATTTTTATGATTTTTATATGATTATTCTATATAACTGTTTGTGGTTCAGTTACTCATCATGGTTTAGCTGCTCCAATGACCTAGTTTCTCCTTTTTTTCCTAGTCAACAGGTGAAAGAGGAGAGATGAGCTGTGGATGGGCCTTCCTGAAGCTTTTCACTTCTAATGGGATGCCTGTTCCTGCCAAGTAAGTTTACTGTTTTCCTTCTCTCTCTTGCTGTATTTACTTATATGTATACACTTCTATGTATATACATATATATATACTTATGTATATACATATATTTTAAAGTAGGAGTAAGGTTCCTGTTTCATACTTACACACTGGTAGGGGCAGGTGTAATCTAGGCTACTGGGTGAGAATCCTGCTTCCACCCCCCATGTATGTTCTGTGACTTACTCGTGACAGAACTGGGATGACATTATTCCTCAATGGTTTAAATCTTCCATGTCTCAAATGTGCTACATACACCACTCCTCAAAAACATCATGGTGAAACAATTGCTAAATTTCATAGAAGAAAGATATTTGTGTCCTGTGGGAAAGAATCAGTGTTGCTCATTTCTTACAAAATAAGCAACTCGTTTCAAACTTACCATTTGAGGTTTGGTTACTTAAGTAGGTGCAGTCATTTCACGGCAAACATGAGGCATAACACCAAGCACTGGGTCGGGTTTTGTTTGACAGCAGGTTTCCTTTCTCAGAGGTTGTGCTGTTCTCACACCTCCTCACACCTTTTTGTTTCAACCACGCTGCTCTTCTTCCACAGGATGTACGAGCTGCCGCTGAATGGTGGGACTCCCTGTGAGAGAGGTGTCGAGGTTGACCCATCAATATCAAGAAGAGGTATGGTTTCTCCTCAACACTATATAAAAGAAACCACACAACAAATGCTGTACCTATTTTACAGCATGTTCTCATTATCTCCCATTACCATGCAGTCTCCACAGTCTGCTTTTGGTTTGGGTGTTCTCATTTTGTGCAAGAGAGAGTTGTTTAAGGCCAGGTTGGACAGGGCCTTGGGTGACATGCTCTAGTGTGAGGTGTCCATGGCAGGGGGTTGGAACTGGATGACCTGAAGGTCCTTTCCAGCCCAAACCACTCTGTGATTCTATGGTTCTATGATTGTTATGGTGGGCTTCAGAACTGTGTGCCAGTGCTGCCGTTCCTGTCATTCCAGAGTCTGCAGGTTGAGGGTTAGCTCTGAGAAATGTATTTATTGTTTCTTGAACTGCAGTTACCAGTTCGTGGCCATGGGGTGATGGCTGGTACAAGGCTCAGCAGCTGCACTGCTCTGCAGTTCCCAAGCATCAATGCCCTGTCACTTCTGCACAAGTTCCATGTGTGCACACATATGCTGCAGAACATCTGTACTGGTTCTTCCCTGGGGGGCTGAATAAAGCTCCACTAAGAGGTGGTTCACGTGAGACACCACTTGTGTTTAGATGAGGGCAGCTGTGGCTTTCACCTGGAAGCAGTAGTGATGTAATTATAATATAATTATTAATATTCTTTCAAATTGGCTGACTTCACATCATATTTATTTCTTAAGCAGGCAGTGGTGTTTTCCATCAGTTCATAGCACTCAAGAAACAGCCTGTGCTGCTACTGAAACTGAGGTCATTGAGTGTGCAGTCAAAAGACATCCTGAAGTAAGTATTCAGGAGTGCTGCCATGAAATGGGAAAATACTCCAGATGGCCTAGAGTGGTCCCCTTCCCTGGAACACTGGCTATGGGAAAATGTGAGGATCATGTCACCTGCATGTTGTGCTTGATCTCTGTTTGATGCTTTGAGCTATTTTACTGAGCACAAACAAAGAGGTTTTAAGTTTAGGTAAGAGCGAAAACAGCAACAGCAGGAGCCTGGCTCTTGTAGCTGTATCAATGTGCACCTTCAAAAGTTGTGATAGATTCATGGAGATGCCGATATGAGCTAATAATAACCCCCATGAAGCCATCCTTACCCCCATGAACAATGCTTCCTAGGAGCAGTCTTCACTAACAATCTCAACTGCACGTTGTTCTCCTCCAGTTTGCTCCCAGAAACACTAATTGGCAGCATGTGCTACATCCATCTCCTGATATTCTATCGACAAATCCTTGGTGATGCACTCCTGAAAGACAGAATAAGCCTGCAAAGCACAGGTAAGAACTGCTCCTGTGGAGCTCAGTGTTTTGACTTTCAGACTGGAGGTGTTGTGGGGACAAACACAAAGCTGTTGTGCAGCTGACAAAAGAGAACAGCCTCTTGCTGGGAAGCCTGTTTGCATTTCAAACTAGTGATATTTTAACTCATATCGACTGTGCTGCCCTGTTTGACATCAGTTCATGTAGCAAATGAAGTGCTTAGAGTGAAATTCTCATTTGAAAAAGCCTGTTTGGATTGGTAAAGGGTTATTTCTAAGTAAATAAAAAGCAAATAAAGGTAAAGGATTATTTGGAAGATGTTTCGTTTTCACCACCCATGCAATGAGAGATGAGACCTGCACACAGGTTTACTCATTCACTTCCAGTGTATGCGTGTTCTGGGTTATAGAGGAGCTCAGGTGGATGTTTATGTCCTTGAGGCCAAGTCATCCTCTTTAGGGTGTTTTAATTGCTATTTACTTCTTGGCTGATGCAGCAGGGAGAGACAGAAGAGGAAGAGGTCTGGGTTTAGAACTTGGTGTCTTGTGCTGATTTCACAACTCTCTCTCTTACTCCTTCCCCATCTTCCCTTCAAGAGGACTGTAATAGTTTATAGTCTTCTCCATCTTAAAATCAATTTGAAATAGGGAAAAATTACTAACTGTGCTACAGGTGAATTTATATTGGTGCTGTGAAGTGGTTTGTTTGTGTTTTCTCCAGACTGAATTATGTATCACCCATTCCTAGGGCAAATAAACTTGCTCATGCACTTACTAACGTTTTAAACTTGCAATCTTTAGCCAAACGTAGGTATCTGAGTTACAGAATAATCTATCAAAGGTGCTCAGAACTTAACTCCCTTCCTGATTTTCTTGACCTTTAATGTACATCCTGTGTATACTTGATTTCAGTACCTGGGAGTCAGCCCCTTTCCTAAATTAATGCCTTATTTAATAGACTCATCATGGAGACACTAAAATGCTCAGTTATTGAAGGCCAGTTTTGAACTGCTGAACTTACTTGGTTTGATCTTCGTAATGTAGGACACCAGATGAGGCTGATGGCCTGTCCTGGAGTTAAACTGCATCTGTTTGGATTCAGACTTCGTTTGAAATGAGTTTACCCCAGCATTTCAGACGTTGTTCTGGTAGCCATTGTCTACTGGTTTTCTAGTGTAAGAAAAGAAGATCTTTCTTACTTCAAAACCAGCCACCACTTCAGAAATAGGCATCTTAAAATGCCTGTTACAGTTCACAGAAGCGATCAGATCCGACTTGCTTCCCTGCAACGTTATCAGTAAATGGTGTTTACTAAACTTCCCACCAACTTCAACGTGAAGAAACAACTTAAATACTTAAAATGACAAGAGAAAGAAAACACCTCAACCAACATTACACTCTGTCACCTGTCACTTGCTCCTCTCGGAATCTTCTCCCAAATCTCATTAACTAAATGCTGACAGGACGGGACCACTGTGCCTCTGAGGCTCGAGTTTTGCTGTGCCTTGTCACAGAGAGCTTTGATTCCTGCCTGCTGTGGGGAGGCAGCTCAGCTCCAACAGGAGACCCAGCAGAAGCCCGGTGCCTTTTGAGATGTGCCCCTTCAGCCAAAGTACTGTGCTGCTCCTTACCCAGTTACCTGAAACCCTTTGGTGCCCCAGAGAAGGGCACCGGAGCTGGAGCAGGGCCTGGAGCACAAGTGTGACGAGGAAGGGCTGAGGGACCTGGGGGTTTAGTGTGGAGAAGAGAAGGCTCATGGAGGACCTGATCGCTCTCTGCAAGTGCCTGACAGGAGGATGGAGCCAGGAGGGGGCTGGTCTCCTGATGGAGGGACGGACTTGGTGATCTTCAAGGTCTTTTCCAGCCTGGTTGCTGCTGTGATTCTATGAACACCCGACAAGGCACGTTAAGGCAGAATGAGTGTGTTTATTCATAACATCCAAACCAACAGCCCAGTTCCAGGTGTTTTAAAAAAGACAGGTGTAGAAATGAGGAAACCCACCTCAGCCTGTCCCCAGGGTAAACCTGAAAGGTCTCTGGCTTCTAGTAAACCAGTTGGGTTTGTGCCTCTCCTCTCCCAATTAACTGTCTCTCAGCCACTGGGAGCTTGCTACAGAGGATGTTGTTAGAGAGCTGTTCTACCTTTCCCACTGCTCTGGAGTACCGTTACAGCTAATCTACTCTTTGGAATAATCTGAGGGGAGGGAATGTGCTGTATAACTTGATGTGTTGATACCTTTAGAACCATCCTGTTTCCTCCTTAGCCTTGAACGTGTTTGTTTTCTGTTTCAGATTTAATCTGTAGTCCTATTTTAGCAACTTTCCCTCAACTCATGGATCAGCCAGACCTGATGGATGCACTTCGGGTACGTTATCCACATAGCGTTCAACTGCATCTGATGTGTCAGGATGTCCCCATCTTCCAGTGCTTGTATCTGTACAATGTGGTGGAATGGCTGTTTGCTTAAGTCAATTGACATGGCACAAGGTGGGATTGGGAGTATGAGGGAAGTGGGACTGCAACAGGAGCTTCACCCACTGGGGGCTTGCAATTAAGAGAGATTTTTGCAGCTAGAAATGGAATTGCTTTAGATCTCCACAGCCTCAGTCTGATTTCATGTTTCATTTCATTTTAGAGTGCTTGGGCAGATAGAGAAAGAACACTGAAGAGATCTGAGAAGGTAAGATATTACAGGGACTTCTTTGACATACTCAATCTAAATCAAACTAGGAGCTTCCTGCAGTGTTATTGCGAGGAACCTTTTCCTCTCACCACACAGTTATTTAGAAAACAGATACCTAACTTTAGTTCTTAACATTTCTTACCTGTACTTATAATAGTAAACTAGGAGAAGAAGGAATATGACATTAAGTTTTTGTCCCAGTGTTTGCATACCTTTGTTAACAGGGGAGCTATTACAGGTTCATACCCAAAGGGTGCCTCCAGTACTTGCCTGGTAAAAGCTTTCCAGTGGCACACAGAGGGCTGTGTGTGCCCACAAAACAACCTCTCCACCTCTGAGCTCCCACAGTCTGCCTGGAAAAAGGCCCCACGTCCTGCCCATTCCCTGCCTCAGGCTGTTGTAATCTCCCATTTTGGGGTGCAGGCAGCTGGGGAAGAACTGAACTGGCCCTGTCATGGGGCTTACCCATCCCTTGTCTTGTGGACAAGGAGAAGCTGTAGGTATCTGAACCAGAGAGGCTTTGGCTCTTCATCCAAGACACTTCCCTTGGGAACAGAGGGTATTCCATTCACTGTGTGTGCTACTGAACAGATACACAAGGAGTTCACCCTGTTTATGCAAACAGACCAACACACTGTTGAGTCAGAATCACTTTTTCAAGGCCATTAATCCAAAATGAAAGCTGATCTGCTGAAAGAATTAGTAACTCCCTGGTATCCCAGAACCATCCAGTTTTACCTGATTTGTCATGTGCCACTCCCAGGGCAGGATTGCTGCCTGGTGAACCCTTACTCCTCCTTGCATGGTTCTAGCTGCTACAGCTCCTGCTGAGACGTGAACTGCACAACAGCACTCACAGCACTCATGTTTCCAGAAGAGTCTTTGGTGGTCAGGGAGTTTTCCAGGAGGCAGAACTCTGTGTGTGTGAATCCTTCTTCCACAACAGGGTTTTTCTAGTGTGCATACGGAAAACAAGGCACCCAAACCTTGTCTAGTTATATCTTGCCCAGGTAAAGCAGTCGGAATCTTTCAGTGTTGGATAACTGACTGATTTTTAGTCTCTGGGTTTTGAAACTGGTCTTTACAGGGAGGGCATAACTCTCACCACACACTGAATGTTCTGTCATGGAGTGAAACAACAGCATTTGTGGTGCAGCCTCACCTGCTGCCAAGAGCTGTGTGCTGTGAGGAGCCTGGGATTGCTGCAATTCCCTGCCTAGGGCAGTGGAGAAGGGAGCAGAGCTTGGGCTGCCGAGGTGGGGAGGATGTGGCACTGCCCCACAGCCACGGCAAACAGCGTCAGCCTGTGCCTGCAGAGCCTGCTTGGGAAA